AGTTGCTAGAAGTCTTCACAAGATGAGACAGCGCAGGATGTCTCAGGGAGATGGATGGCTGCAGGGTGTCTCCCAGGCGAGATGTCTCCTAGGGGGCTGTTTCTTGTAACTGTCAGGCTATTCTTTGAAGGAGAACTCCCTTTTGGTCCCTGGCAGGTGAAAATAATGAGAAAAGAGGTACTGGTGAAAGTTATGGCTAAACTTCCATTCATGTTTTCTATTTCTATTAAAATAAAATGCACTTTCAGAATTCTGGAACAGGAGCAAAAAAGTCTGAAAGTAAACTTTGTAAAGCCAATATACAGCTTTTGCAAAAATGGTTATAAGCCTGTTATGAATGACAGCAGCACACCAGTTATAGTTATAGTTCCAGGCCAAAACCAAAAATCTAAAAAATAGCAAAATATACCTTGTAGGTGGATTCATCACCACCATTGATGTATTTTAGTCAAACTACCAAAATCCTACATAGCTAGGGCCTGCAATACTCATTGAAGAAAGTAAGGTAATGTAATGCAAGCATTTCCTTTAGTATCCCATTCTTCCCCTTGAAATCTAACCAGACAGTGCCATTACCCTGGTAGTTTTCTCCCATCGGCCTAGGGGTCAAACAGCTCTTGCTATCCAAAGATGTCCTGGCAGGGAAACCAGTCTGTGGAAAGTTCAAATTACACTCACACCTCTCCTCACTCATGAGGCACTCTGCCCTTCCGTTGCTTATGCCCTTGCTCTTCAAAAAAGACATTTCCTCCAAGTCTTTGTAGGTGACTTTCCACATTTGAAAATGTAATAACCTCCACATCAGATGATAATACATCACAGGCACATATACAGAACAGTGCTTGGAATGTTGATAAAAACAGTGTTGAAATTATTTGAGGGCTGGGGTTATGGCTCAGAGGTAAAGGGCTCACCTAGCACGAGTGAGGTACTGGGTTCAATCCTCAGCACTAAAGATTGTGTTGCCCACCTGTAACTAAAAAATAAATATCTTTTTAAAAATCAAGATTAAATATAACCCATAAATCACTGATAGAATAAGACCTGGATAAACAGTGAATTTATCTGTTAATCCCTAACACACTTCCAAAAGAGCAGACAACTCATTACATTATGTTCACTCAGTGTACCCGACTAATAGGGAAAACCCTCCCCGCTTCTAACTGCACACCTGGCCAGGTCACAGCCTCCTTTCCTTTGGCCCTGGGCTGTTCACTAAAACTGCTCAGACCCCGGCCTGGCTCATCACCCCCTGAACTTCCTCTCTTGCCCTGCCAGGAGCTACTCTGAAATCCAGAATTTCCCGTCAAAGTTCTAAACCTCCGCATGTTTTTCAAATGAAGTTATCGATTCAAGCAGTGAATGTTATTTGTTCTAACGTGGTCGCCAGACCTTTTGTGACCCTGGTGTTCCCTGCCTCTATTCACAAGGGAAGTCGTTCCCAAGCCCCTGTAGACAGCAGCTCTCCTGTCTTCCCGACCCACGTGGACTAATGACGATCCGAAATTGGTTAAGAAATTTATTAATTGGTAAGCAAAATCCCTAGTCCAGGTAACGTAACCACCGCCGTAACCACCGCCGTTTTGTAAAGTCACGGAAAAAAAAAAAAAAAAAACATGATTGTGAAGCTCCCCTGCAAAACCCTAGTCCCGAGTTACCACTAGACAGGAGAAAAACACCATTCCTAACTATCATGTAATGGAAAACTTAACTTTTAAGACTCAGCCTCACAAAGATCAGAAGACGCATTTGCAGTTCTGATATTGAAAACGTAGGTGGCTCTTAAAAGAGCCTTTGGGGTTAGACGCTTACATGGCATTTACTTGGCGCTGGTGTACTTGGTGACAGCCTTGGTGCCCTCGGACACCGCGTGCTTGGCCAGCTCCCCGGGGAGCAGCAGGCGCACCGCCGTCTGGATCTCCCGGGACGTGATGGTCGAGCGCTTGTTGTAGTGCGCCAGGCGCGAGGCCTCGCCTGCAATACGCTCAAAGATGTCGTTGACGAACGAGTTCATGATGCCCATGGCCTTGGACGAGATGCCGGTGTCGGGGTGCACCTGCTTAAGCACCTTGTACACGTACACCGAGTAGCTCTCCTTGCGGCTGCGCTTGCGCTTCTTGCCGTCCTTCTTCTGCGCCTTGGTCACCGCCTTCTTGGAGCCCTTCTTCGGGGCAGGAGCTGACTTCGCTGGCTCAGGCATCGTGGAAGAGCAGAAGCTGCAAAGCGAAGCTAGAGGCACGGTGCGGCTTTATATAGAACCTCATACGCAAATAAGGTGGAGTTAAAGCCTGTTTCTCATTGGTGGTTGTTCTGATGAACGTCAGAAGTTATTTTGCCCAATCAGAATGCGTAAATTCCAAAGTCGCTTTTCTATTGGTTGGAACGAAGTTACAATTTCAACCAATGACAAGTCTACTTTTTCGCGCCCAATAGTGGTTATAAAAGGTGCCGCTTTGGCGTTTGGTCTTAGGACCTTTTGCTGCTAGTTTGGCGAGATATGTCTGGACGCGGTAAGCAAGGCGGTAAAGCCCGCGCCAAGGCTAAGACGCGCTCTTCCCGAGCCGGCCTGCAGTTCCCTGTTGGCAGAGTCCACCGCCTTCTGCGCAAGGGCAACTATGCCGAGCGGGTCGGGGCCGGCGCGCCCGTCTACCTGGCGGCGGTGCTGGAGTACCTGACGGCCGAGATCCTGGAGCTGGCTGGCAACGCGGCCCGCGACAACAAGAAGACGCGCATCATCCCGCGCCACCTGCAGCTGGCCATCCGCAACGACGAGGAGCTCAACAAGCTGCTGGGCAAAGTCACCATTGCGCAGGGCGGTGTCCTGCCTAACATCCAGGCCGTGCTGCTGCCCAAGAAGACCGAGAGCCACCACAAGGCCAAATAAGGAGCGAGGTTGGAATACCGCAAAACAAAGGCTCTTTTCAGAGCCACCCTAAACTGTCCTTGAAGAAGCTGTTGGCACAGTTTGCGCTCTTGTTGCATAACATTTGTGGGAGGCAATTTTCTTACGTTGAGTTGAGAAGCACAGGGATGTAGTAGTCCAGTAGCAGTAAGTGGGGATAGTCAAATGTACAACTGGTTGAAACAGGAGTGGCAATATTAAACTCCAGGACTTTAAAAGTAAACTGAGCAAGGCGGTCTTGTAAATGGGGGTCACCTGCTTAAGTGACAAGGAGTAACTTTGCAGAGGATGGAATTGACATTTCATTAGTCGCTATGATTCTGGAAACGAGGAGTTGATGTGCTAATAAAGCAAATTTCCTAAGAACCCTGTTGACCCATTGATCCCATTTGTTTGCAACAGGTGTTTACTTGTTGCCCAGTAGCTAAGGATAAAGCAACCTGGAAAGTCTGCCTCCCTAGGAATTTCTTCTGGGTGAGGATAATAAGCTTGTCAAGGTGTACTATGCCAGGTGATGCACATCAATTATAACCAGCTACAAAGCTACAGGGACTACCATTCTAGATAAGGTTACCAAAATGACCTTGAAGGTGTTACTTGAGATTCTTACATTGACACAAAGGCAGGAGGCTTATTGGGACTTGAGTATTTCAGGAAGAGGGAACTGAATGCAAGGGCCTTGAAACAATGATGTTTTTTGGGTGGGAATCTCAGCAGGTTTTTACATAGAGCCCCAGATGTCACTCCATTACCATATTTTTTTTTCTTGTAATTGTCATTTTATTCAACAGACTTCTGCAAGTAAAGATGGGAATAGCAGATAAATCTGGCTGTATATTTAATTGTAAACTGCCCTAGTAAATCTTTCAGCTTGTGAACCACATGATAAATACTATTTTTATGGAGTCTCTTAAGTAGCTTGGATTCCATACTTTTTCTATTTTGTGTCATCAAAATTTTAAGCCTCAGACTGCTGTTGCTTGACTGCTCATCCACATTTACATGCTCTGCACAGCCCTGTATTTTGGGTCCTCTCCCCCTGTTCCTACCCCAACTTGATATGGCTTGCTTTCACTTCACATGAAACTATAAAACTAGACGTAATTATTCCATAGTGGCTCTCACTTCCTAAAGGCCCACCTCTTAATACTAACATATTGAAGCCAGAATTAGGAAGTTAGCAGAGATAGGTAAATCCAGTCAGGTCGATCAAGGAGGCCAGTTGACTGACTCCAAGAAATTAGAGACTGCCCCTTGAGGGACTGAGATGTTAATTCCTTCAGAGTTCTTCCTCCACCCTTATTAAGAACCTGCCCCTGCTCCAACCTGTTGCTAAGGTCACCTGTCCCAGGAATTGCCCCTCCCTACAGGGAGCTAATTGCTCCATCCTGCTCTTTCCCCTTCAGCCCACCTGTTTCCCAGCTTTTCGCCATCCCACCAAGCATTTCCTGGGCCTAGTCACAAACACAGGAAGGAGAAAGTAAAGAGAGCAGAACAAAGGAAGCCTGGAACACATAAAAAGGCAAAACACCCTCAGTTCATGGGGTACCCGGACACCAGCTATGGCCCCTTCTGCCTCCCAGGAGAAGTCTGTTACCCCTTTTTAAATAAACCCTGCTTTATATGCTGGCCCCAGCGTGCTTTCCTAATATTATACTTCAGTGTCTGAGGGAGCAGAAATCATCACCAACAGCCAGCGGTATCAATATTGGCGATTAATTTTCAACATCTGGATTCCAGGGACACATTCAGACCACGTCAGTTTCCAAGACAGGGATCCAGCTGCTCTATCTACTGCTATCCAGAAGCCGGGCCCACTTGCAATAGCCCAGGACTGTAAATCCTAGTTGCTCCCAAAGCAGAGACAGGAACATTCCAGGCCAGCCTGGGCAACTTGGTAAGGTACTAGCGATTTAGTGAGAACCTGTGCCAAATAATGATAATAGGTCTGGGGATCCCCGGTACCAAAGCTGACAAGATGAGAACCCGTCAACAAGTACTGGAGACACCATTTCAATTAGTGGAACAAGACCAGCTCCAGGGGAGGCTTGGGGAATGCAAGTGGAAGGAGATTAAATGAAGGAGTGAGATGAAACAAGAGGGAGCTCCATGACACTGGGAGAATATGGCTGAAAGCTGGTTGACCATAGTGCTGGTGATACCTCTGGTAGTCGGTGACAAGCTCTGCTCCCTCACATGTTGAAGTTTGATCATTAGCGAGCACACCAAGGTAAGCATTATAAAGCAGGGTTTATTTTAAAAGGGGAAACACAGACTTCTCCCAGAAGGGAGAAGGGGGCCATAGCTGGTAGCCTGGTATCCCAAAAAGCAAGGTATTCTGTTCTTTTTATGTGTCCTGGGTTTCCTTCGTTCTGCTCCCTTCCCCCATCTCTCCTTCCTCTGTATTCGACTAGGCCCCTGACTAGGCCTAGGAAATGCTCTTTGGGTGTGGAAAGGCCAAAAGGGAAAACAGGTGGGTGAGGGGGAAGGGCGGATAGCTCCCTGTAGGGAAGGGCAACTCCTGGGACAACAGAGGGAAGCAGGGGCAAGTTATCTGGATATGGTGGAGGAAGGGCTCTGAAGGCCTTTCAATCCCTGAGGGGGGGAGGGGAGGGGGGGAGCAGTCTCTAACTCAATTTGGCCTCCTTGATCTGACCCACTCGAATTACCTATCTATACCGACTGCCTGTCTAATTCTGGCTTCATCGGTAGCTGAAAGGAGGCAGAATTATTCCTGATAAAAGAACAACTTGGAATGCCAGTAGGAAAGATCCTACAGAGATAAAATAGTTTTCCCATACAGACATCTATAGATGTGAAGAGGAGACAGAGGAAAGAATTGCCAAACTATGCCCTGGAGTGGGAGAGAATTCCAACGTGGAAGAGTGTGGGCACTGGCGATGTGGAGCTGGTAGGATGTGCCTGCAACCTCTCATCCTTCCTCAGAATCTTGTAATGATAGACAAAATCCTCAGGCCTTCAAAAGTTAGCACTAGAAAGGGCCTGTGACACCCTGGGTCCTATTTCCACAAAGGAGCCCACACAGATCAACCCCAGCAGGAAACCCACCCGCAGCTGCGACTCCACCCACAGAAGCTTCTGGCCTCGCCTCCCCAGCCCACCACAGCAGCTTACCTCCCAGCCTTACACTAGCTGAAGGGGCTGGGAACTGGACCCAGGGCCTGGCACATGCTGGAGAGGCCACGTGCCCAGGCCTGCTGTGGCTCCATAAAGGGGATGGAGAGAGCCCTTCTGCAAAGGAAAGAAGTCCAATTCCAATCGGCCTGGGACCAGGGGAAGCCTGTATCCCCCCTGCTTACCGGCAGCATTTCATTTCTTTGAGGTTTGAAGATTTCTTTGAGACTAAGAATGCCACCAGATCTTTCCTTATCTAAAATGGTAACTGTTGGGGAGCGGGTAGTCCATCCGGCCGGCCTGGCGGTAAGGACGGTCGCGTTACACAAGGAAAGGAGATAGACAAAATCGCAGGAAGTTAAGCTGCCGATTGTGAGCCTCTGGCCGGCGCCCTACGGGGGCTGCCAGCTGGAAGCACTGGGGGCGCCTCCGTGGGTCCGCCCACCCGCTCGGCAGGGGCGACAGTGACCTTCGACCTTTACAGCCCTGGGCGGGCCTGCTGAGTAAAGAGCGGTCCCCTCGGAGCCCGCTGGAGGACGGGGAGGGCATTAACCCCGCAAACCACCTCGGAGCACGAGGGAAAGATTAAAAGGGCGGGGGCTAATGCGTGACCTGGGCGAGGGGAGCAAGGTCAAGCTTCCCCGGTGGCCGACGCGGGGGCAGGAACCCGCAGCGCGCAGCGGAGGCGCTCTGCACCACGGG